TTTGTCCTGTCCTTTGTCCTGTCCTTCGTCATGTCTTTGTCATGTCCTTTGTCATGTCCTTTGTCCTGTCCTTTGTCATGACCTTTGTCATGTCCAGTGTCCTGTCCTTTGTCATGTGCTTTGTCCTGTCCTTTGTCATGTCCTTTGTCATGTCCATTGTCCTGTCCTTTGTCCTGTCTCTCTCTGATTGGTTGTTTCCTCTCCTTCCTGTCCTGTCATCTCTCTGTCCCTTCATTTCCAAATGTCCCCACACACTTTGTCTCCCGGCCTCTCGCCCTCACAGGTTGCCCAGCAGAGACTCGTCCGTCTCCTCTAACTCCTGTCTGTTTCAGCGTCTGGTCGGCTGCTCGGGTCTTCCTGACCGTCTCTTGTTCCCACAGGACTCAGCTGTTAACGATCTATAAATGACCTCAGTGCTGTTACTGTGGCAGCTTCAGATCTGAGCGAAGCTGCAGGATTTCTGAGGTCTGTTTTTCTGCAGCGTTGGTGAAACTCTCCTCCTCAGTCGGACGATCTGAAATGTGCCAAACTTTGTGATGTGTCTTAAAATCTGCAGCGTTCTGGCACATTTTGCATCCCTCCTCCCTCCAGATAAGCAGTGGTTTGATGTAAAGGGAGTCAAAATAGTGCCAAAGCGTGTCATCTCAGGGATTTAAGGAGCTGCTGCACGTTAAACTGTTTCAGTGAGGAGAGCTCATTGAAATGCTTTAATGTTCATCAGCAGCAGAAGAACCAGCTGCTGATCACACCCAGCCAGCTGAAGCGGGTGTTGGAGCAGAGCTGACTCATTTCTCTTGTGATCATCTCTCTTTATTTTCTATATGAGTGTTTTTCTCTCTCAGTGGATTTGAATGGTGTCCAGACTACATGCTGTACTACACACACACTGCCTCTGTCCTCCTCTGCAAGCACGACCGACTGTAGGCTGAAAACACACCCGCACTCTAAACCAGACCCCCAGCCTCGCTGCGGGCAAACTCCATCAGTCGTCACATTAGCAGTGGTGGAAAGTAACTAAGTACTTTTACTCAGAGTACAGCATTGATTGTGGTCTACATTGGATGGCTCCCTCAGTGGTTTCTGATGTTTACATGGAGCTAACCCGCTCACGATTCACACTCAAAAACAATCCTGTCTACAACAAGCCAGTTTACTGTCTCTTTAAGTCTCTCGTCTCTAAAAGCCAGCTTTCATCTGATTGGTTAAACTTTGGAAGCCACTTCCTACTCAGTGCTTTGGAGATAAAAAGGTGAAAAAAGCTCCACAAGCTTATTTTGTCAAAAAACACTGACATTCACACGAAAATGTTTATGTTGCCATAAAAAACGCTAGCATGAAAACAATTCATGTTAGCATAAAAAACAACAACATTAGCATGATCAAAACTGTGCATTAAGAACAGCTTTGATCTTCTTCATCAATTCTAGTTTTTCTTTTTTTTGTAAACAGCACAATAGCTAAAAACTACGTAACATTCTGCATTTTGTTCACATTTTTAAAGTTGTGGCTACAAATGAATGAAGAGCGTGCTGGGCTCTTAGCATGCTAGCATTAGCATTAGCATACTTATTTTCCACCCTGATTTAACAATAAATTCTTTACAAATCCTACCATGTGGATTCATGGATTTTTTTTTTCACATTCTGTCTCTCACAGTTGAAGTGTACCTCTGGTGCAAATTACTGACCTCTGTCATCATTTTAGGTGGGGGAACTTGCACAATCGGTGGCTGACTAAATACTTTTTTGCCCCACTGTAACATTTAGATGAACAGAACCAACTTTCTATGATGATTAAACAGGCGTCGACATGTTCTAGTGACAGTGTGACATTTAAAAAATATCACCATTTCAATATCACCACCATATGTGATGGTAAATATTATTGTGAGTCAGAACAGTTAAGATTACATTAAGCAGAAAAATTTTAGGTTAAAATCATATAAGAAAATGTAAAAACATCAATAATAACATAATAAATAAACTAGCATTAGCATAAAATCAGTGACCCTCAAATGTTGTCAGTAACGATCTATGCTAGAATAAAAAATGAATGTCAGGATTAAAATCCCTGCAGGAAAACTGATTTCACAGTATAAATTTATATATTATACATAATTGAAAAATATGTGCATTAAAACCTAATTTAGCATCAGAAACTAATGTTAGAAAAATTGTCTTATGAAGTGAGACAGAGTGGTGAGGTCCACAGTGAACGTCTGTGGGAGTGTGATCATCGTTTCATCCATACTGAGAACAGCACTCGTTCGTGAGTCCAACTGTGCTCACACAGCAGACAGACAGCCTGCTGTACACAGCACTGCACTGCATGGCTTGGATCATTTCTCTGTCTTAGAGAAACACACGTGTGTTTTGCAGGCCTGTGTCAACAACGCTGTCAGGCTGACAAACAATCAGGTTTCCTAAAGAAACCAACGCACACTGTTGGGAATCGAACCGACAGCCTGGCCTGTGCTGCTGCTTCTGTTCACACATGAAAGTTTGATGCTGCCCGTGGCAGAGCTTCAGCCCGGCTCACATGATGGAAGACGATGTTTAATTCATGTCCAGCAGCCTGAAACCTTTAAGGGACGGTCCTTTAAACACGTCCCAAAATATCACGGTGAACTTTGTAGACGAGTGAAAAGTGATGTAGGATTCAAATGTCCAGCCCTGCACTGATGCCAGGATATTAATCTGTTTAAAGGAGGTAATTCTTAACGTAACGATCCTGTGCGTCTGCTGTGAAGTCTGACAGGCTCGCTGTGGTGCAAATGTGCAAATCCATCTTTTTAACAAAGGAGACCTGTTAGCATCTTCACGCTAACAGCTGCTTGTGTGCAGGTAACGCCTGAGTAAAACACCTGAACGCTTCCTCCACTGCTAATAAGTCCTTCAGATGAAAACAGGAATGTAGGCAGGACCCATGAGAGGGTACAGCTCAGGATCAGCCAGTGTGTGATGCTGCTGTTTATAACCTGTGTGTTTGCTCTCTCTGTAGCCGTACCCGACCGACATCACCGGCCAGCTCAACCTATCAGATCCCTCCGTCAGCACCGTGGTCTGAGAGAGCGAGCGAGCTTCACTGCTGCTGCTGAGCCACACAGACACACACTGACCCTCTGGATACACAAACACACACACACACACACACACACACACACACAGATGGACAGGAAGGACGATGTAATGACAGCAGGGCTTTTGGACGGTATCCCATAGTGACACACACACACACGCTTACCTTTATTCCTTATGGAGTGGGGACTGAAAAACTGATCTGGAACCTTAATGCTGACACTGAACACTTTAAAGCATGTCCCCACTATGCAGAAATGTCCCCACAATGCAGAAATGTCCCCACACTGTAGAAATGTCCCCACACTGTAGAAATTCCCCATAATGCAGAAATGTCCCCACAA